AAAAGTCCCGTCAACCCAACAAAAAACTGAACCCTTAAGAAAAATATTTAAAACAAAACTTCAAGACCCAAAGCCCTAATGATTTGAGGCTTTCAGGGGGTCGAGGGTCTTGGTAGGGTTGAGCCTGAGAGGCATAGCAACGAAATCCTGAACCCTGGCTTGGGGGCTGATTAGCCTCAGGGTGCAAGGTTCATGAGTTTGGAGGGTACATGGGAAGGATTATGAACCTATGTTTAGGGTTTAGGGTTTCGGGTTTAGGGTTTAGGGTTTAGGGTTTAGGGTTTAGGGCTGAGGGTTTAGGGTTTAGGGTTAGGGTTTAGGGTTTAGGGTTTAGGGTTGAGGGTTGAGGGTTTACGATATTAGGGGTACCTTACTGGGGTCCAGTTTATCAGGGAATCCTACTATTTGGGGGTTGATAATAGAGGTCCTCCTATTTTCGTAAACCCCATTTAAGGTTAGGGCTTTAAGGGGTTAGGGTTTAGGTCAAACCCTACAAAGCATGAACCCTAGACCCCGCGGGGTTTGGGGATTAGAGGCTTGGGTGTACCCGCCTCCGGCTTCTTCTTCTTCTCCGGCTCGAAGCCATTGTAGTTGACCTGTGAGGGTCAGGGGGGTAGAGAAGGGTTTAGGGTTTAGGGTTTAGGGTTTGGGATTTAGGGTTTAGGGCTGAGGGTTTAGGGTTTAGGGCTAGGGTTTAGGATCTCGAGTCAAGGGCTTTTGCAAGGGGGCGGGTGGGGAAAAATACCTGGGAGCAGGAGCTTTAGGGATTTTGGGGGTGTTGTACGCGAGGCTGTTAAGCAAATGGGGTCTTTAAGGGCTTGAGGTTTAGGGTTTAGAGTTTAGGGTTTAGGGTTTAGGGTTTGGGGTTAAGGGTTAAGGGTTAAGGGCCTGAGGGGCTTGGTGCTTGGGAAGTTTAGGGCGTAGACGTTAACTAGGATGGCCCTCTGAAAAATATTGCTGATTATTTTTTCCCCTTCAATCCAATAGGGGCAGATTATAAAATGTCCCAAGGGCCTACCAAGCAGAGGTTTGGGGGCAGGGTGGGCTGTTGAAGGTAGAGGGGTACTGCTCCAGCCAGACTGGCGAGCAGGAGGGAGCAAGCCGGGCCAAGCTTTGCAGCGTTTGGGGGTTGGGGGTTTAGAATTTAGGGTTTAGGGTTTTGGGGTTTAGGGTTTGGGGTTTGGGGTCTGGGGTTTGGGGCTTGGGGCTTGGGGTTTTGGGGTTTGGGGTTTGGCAGGTTCCAGATCTTCATTGAAACCTTAAATGGACTTGAGACCCTAAACCCTAAACCTAAACCCCAAAACCTAAACCCTAAACCCTAACACCCGCGCCCCTCCCCCCCCCCCCAACCAAAAAAAAAAACAGAAGCCCACACCCTGAGCTCGTCCCAACACCCAAGGAGGCCTTGGTGGGCATGGGCATCTGGGTGTCCGCCTTCCGGTGGTCAGGATCGAAGGGCTTAGGGGAGGTTCAGGGGAGGTTTAGGGGTTTAGGGGTTAGGATTTAGGGTTTAGGGTGTAGAGTTTAGGGTTTAGGGTTGGCCGCCCTAAAACCTCAACGGCTGAGTGGCTCTGGGGCGGCTTCCCAAGTTTCTTTGGGCTTCGGGCTTCGGGGCTCAGGGCTCAGGGGTTCGTGGGTTCGTGGGGTTAGTGGCTTTAGTGGCTTTCGTGGCTTTCGTGGCTTTAGTGGCTGTAGTGGTTTAGGGTTTAGGAATTGGGTTTAGGGTTTAGGATTTGGGGTTTCAGGGTTGAGGGTTGAGGGTTTGAGGGTTTAGGGTTTAAGGGCTTAAGGGTTTAGGATTCTACTCTACTCTACTCTTTATGGTACTTCTTACTTTGCTCTGTACTTAGGGTTTAGGGGCTTACGGGCTTAGGCTGGGATGTTCCCCCTTCTACTAGCAGTCCTTCATGGGGAGTATAGTACCCCCTTTTTAGAGTCCCTATTAAGATTCTAGTACCCCCTAATCGAATCCCCATTAAGGACTGTTCGTCTAAGGGGGAACATCCCAGGGTTTAGGGCTTAGGGCTTGGGGTTGAAGGGTTTAGGGTTTAAGGTTTAGGGTGTAGGGTTTAGGGTTTCGGGTTTAGGGTTTAGGGTTTAGGGTTTAGTGGGTTTAGCGATTTCAGCGGCTTTAGTGGCTTGGGTTTGGGGTTTAGGGTTTAAGGGTGTAGGGTGTAGGGTTTAGGGTTTAGGGTTTAGGGTTTAGTGTTTAGGGTTTAGGGTTTAGGGTTTAGGGTTTCGGGCTCAGGGGCTGGCCTTCAGGGACTTCAGCGCCGCATCGATGCCGCTCGGCATGGCGAAGAAGGCCGCTCTCCCTGGGCGCGCGATCTTTTGGGTGAGCCCCAAACCCTAAACCCTAAACCCTAAAACCCTAAACCCCAAACCCTAAACCCTAAACCCTGAAACCCCTAAACCCCAAACCCTAAACCCTAAACCCCAAACCCTAAACCCTAAACAAAGCAAGCCCCGGGGGCATGTGGGGGTTGAGTGGGGGCATGTGGGGGTTGAGGGCTTAGGTTTTAACATCTAAAGTTTTTGGCTCGAAATCCAGAGCTTCGGGTTTCTGATTTAGGGCTCAGAGATCGCTCAGTCGGCGTCCCCTTTTTTACGGAAGTCGCGTATTCGAAGTTTGGAAGGTTTTCAGCTCGGGCTTTGGGGCATGGGTTGCTGGTGGAGGCTGACATTCAAAGCCTCCCAGGCAATCTGCGGCTGCTGATCCCGAAGACCTCTGAACCCTCTAAACTCTGAACCCAAAGCCCTCACAAGCCTTAACCCCAAACCCCAAACCCCGAACCTAAAACCCCAAAACCCCCAAACCCCAAACCCGAAACCCCAACCCCAGACCCTAAACCCCAAACCCAAACCCAAAACCCCAAACCCCAAACCCCTCGAGAATCTTCCCCTGCCAAGAGGCTCCCGGGACCGAAAGGCCCCAGGGAGGCGCCCCACCCCCAAGCTAAGTTCCACCCTCGGCTATCTTGAAGCCAACGCTGCGAGTTGAGGGTTGAGGGTGTTCAGGGTTCAAGGGATACCTTGGGGTTTAGGGGTGTCTAGGGTTTCAGGATTTATGGTTTAGGATTTAGGGCTTTGGGCTTAGGGCTTAGGGATTTGGGTTTGAGGGAGGGGCTTTCTTGGAGTCGGGTCTACGCTTTAGGATCTTTGCATTCCTGAAAGCCTAAGTCCTAATTAAACCCGACAAAGCAGGGAACCAGGAGACCCCCGTGATGAGGGTGTTTAGGGGTTTAGGGGTCTAGGGTTGAGGGTCTCAGGGCGTATCCCTACTATCATTCAAGAACGTCCCTGCGAGTCTCTGAAAAACCTGTACCCCTAAACCCGAAACCCGAAACCCTAAACCCTAAACCTCAGACCCTAAATCCTAAACCCCAAGCCCTAAACTAAACCCGCAAGGCGTGGACTTCGGCCCATGCAATGCACCTGCAATGCTAGACGCAAGACTTGAAAGGGGGTGGCGGTTGAGGGTTTACCCTTTAAAATAGACCCTAAACTCTAAATCTATGGTCGGAACCTTGTTGTAAAGGAATCCGACGAGTGGTCCCTTAATTTTGGTATAGCGTACATAACGGTTATAAAAAGGGCCCAAATTAAGGGCCATACTTGGAACCCTAAACCCCAAACCCACAATGTTTGGGGTTTAAGGGGTTGGGGACCTTCAAAGTTCATCCCCAGGGCTTCTGAACCTCCTTTTTTAAGCTTTAGGGCTTTATGGTTTAGGCATTAGGGGGAGCTTAAGGAACTTAGGTATATTCGTGCATTTCCGGAATGAGGGGGGAACAAGGGACGTACGGTATGTGCAGGCACTCAAGCCCCAAATGCCCCACGAAAAGCCAGGGCTCAAGGGTTTAGGGGCTTTAGGGCTTTCCCTAAACCCTAATCCCGAAGCCCCAAGCCCCAAATCCTAAACCCCAAACCCTCAACCCTAAACCCTACAACCTACATCCTACACCCTACACCCTACACCCTACACCCTAAACCCTAAACCCTAAACCCTAAACCCTAAACCCTAAACCCTAAACCCTAAACCCTAAACCCTAAACCCTAAACCCTAAACCCTAAACCCTAAACCCTAAACCCTAAACCCAAGCCTTGATGCCCTCGGACCCCCATCTCCTGGAACATGGACGCAGCGGTGTCCGGGATGCGGCACATGGACAGGACATGGTTGAGACCGGCCTCTGCAGGTGCTTCAGGGTTTAGGGTTTAGGGTTTAGGGTTTAGGGTTTAGGGTTTAGGGTTTAGGGTTTAGGGTTTAGGGTTTAGGGTTTAGGGTTTGCACCCCGAAACCCTGCAACCCTGAACCCTGAACCCTAGACTTTAAGACCCTAAACCCAAAAACCCCGAAAAAACCCAAACTAAACCTAAAGCCGTAAAACCCTAAAACCCCAAAACCCCTAAAACCCCAAAAGCCTAAAACCCTAAGCCCTAAAACCCCAAAAACCCTAAAACCCCAAAACCCTAAAACCCTAAGCCCTAAAACTCCCACAGATGGGGCTGCGGAGCTCACGGCTGAGGGGTTCTTGGGATGCCCCGGACTGATCGAAACTGAAGCTGCTAGGGGGTTTTCGGGATTAAGGGCTAAACCCTAAACCCTAAACCCTAAACCCTAAACCCTAAACCTAAACCCTAAACCCTAAACCCTAAACCCTAACCGGCCTTAACCCAGGGATTTAAGGGTTTCGGGTTTAGGAAGCCTTCCGCTGCACAATTCACCGCCAAGGATGGCTTGGAGGGCTCAAGCATGCTCAAGGACGTCACTCAGGGGTTCAGTGCTCAAGGGGTGTTGAGGCTTTAGGGATTAGGGACTTAGTGATGCTAGGGTTGAGGTGTGAAGGAACCCAAGCAAAAAATCCTACCAGGGATGCTATATACCGGGCTTACAGCATAGCCTAACTAGGTTTCGGGCTCTTAGCGTAGCAATGCTCCCCACCCCGCTGAAGCCCGAGTGCAACAAGCTTTTCCCGCAGAGACGCACCTCCGCATAGTCACTTTGCCTCGCGGTAGGTTTGGATGAATGCCCCCTGCTCGATGCGGATGATCTCTTGGATGGTTCCATCAGCAGACTTGTTCCCACTCGCCAAGAAATCGCCAGCAGACACAACCATCTCCTGGCCCCAAGCAGCCATGAAGGAGCCGCCAAACCTGGTTGCCAGGGCTTCACTGACCTCGATTGCAGTGCAGCGCCTGTTCGGCATGTACAGCTTGAAGCCCTTGTCCTTGAGCTCATGGTCCTGCGGAAGGTCCTCCGGGCGGTCAGCGAAGTAGTTCTTCCTAAACTGGCTTTCCTTCAGGATATACTCCTCGCCATCGTGGGTCATCGCGTGAACAACCATGTCACCCTCCTGGGCTGTGTTTCTCGTTTCCTCCTTCCCGCCGACCACAGTCACCACAATCTCGCCGGGAGCGGCCTTACGAATCAGGGCACGCTGGTACTTCTCGTACTCCTTCCCTTCCTTCTCCAGCAGCGGCCGGATCATCTCCAGCGTCTCTTGCTGAGACAAGACCATGGCAGGGGGGGGCGCGTTTTTGACGTCTTTCACGCCAAGCTACAGCCGAAAGGTCTCGGGAAAGCCATGGCTTCCAGCCTCAACCAACAAGCCCGGTCAACCCTAAGCCTCAGCCCACTTCTGCTCTTAAAGTCTAGTAGGGTTGAGGGTTGAGGGTTGAGGGTTTAGGGTTTAGGGTTTAGGGTTTAGGGTTGAGGGTTGAGGGTTAGAGGGTTAGGGTTTGGGGTTCAGGCCCCCGACTCCCCAAACCCCCACCCCCCCACCCCAGGCTCTTTTGCTGCGGAACGGAAAACCGAGAAAAGGCAGCCACTCTGCCCTCCTCTGTTGAGCAGCCGGTGAGACAATCGAGGCTTTGGGGTTAGAGCTTAACAGGAATAAGGGTTTAGGGTTTAGGGTTTAGGGTTTAGGGTTTAGGGTTTAGGGTTTAGGGTTTAGGGTTTAGGGTTAGTGTAGGGTTCAGGGTTCGGGGTTCCAGTTTAGGTATGAAACTTTTTAGACATGCGTGAGAGACCCTGAAGCCCAGTGCCTTCAACCCCAAACCCTAAGCCCTTAACCCTTAACCCCATACACTAACTTTCGTTGTACGTGGGGTTGTAAGTAAGGAAACCCTCGTCGCCCTAAACCCTAAACCCTAGACCCTAGACCCTAAACCCTAAACCCTAGACCCTAGACCCTAAACCCTAAACCCTAAACACTAACCGCTAAACCCTAAACCCAAGCCGCTCTCACTTCACCTTCCGATAGACTTCAGAGGCACCGCGACCGCGGAGGATCAGGAGGTCATGGTCGAGGTAGGTCACCTCTTGAGGGTTTAGGGTTTAGGGTTTAGGGTTTAGGGTTTAGGGTTTAGGGTTTAGGGTTTAGGGTTTAGGGTTTAGGGTTTAGAGTTTAGGGTTTAGGGTGCGGGCCTTTGAGGGCCTTGCGAGTTCAGGAACTCAGGGTGCTTATTGTCGAGGGTATAGGCTGCTGGTTTATGCCGTCGCCCCCACCCAAACCAAACAACCCTGAACTCAAGAAACCTTCCAAACACCTTAAGCCCTAAGCCCTAAACCCTAAACCCTAAACCCTAGAGTCCCTAGAGTACAAGCCGAAAACCTCAACAGCCGAAGCTCTAAGCCGACATCTCGCTGCTTCCAAGGACACTGCGCTTCAGGGCTTTGGGCGGTTTAGGGTTCAGGGTTTACTTGGAGGTTCATGAGTCCTTATAACCCCAATCATACTTATCACCTGTTCAGAGGACTCAGAGAGCTGAAAAGTACAGTGGGTTATTAAGTACCCTGAACCTCCAAGTATGGGACCCTCGACCCTAAAACACTCAAACCTTGTCAGCTCAGAAAGCATTCGGGGTGGCAGGTGGCCTTGACGTAGCGTTTGAAGCCGCCCTCCTCCTGGTAAGGGAGTAGGGTTGAGGGTTTAGGGTTTAGGTTTTGGGGGTTAGGGTTTAGGGTTTAGGGTTCAGGGAGACTGCGTCACACGGCATAAGTTTGGGAGTTCGGGGTTTGGGGACTGATTCGCCAAACCCCAAAACCCAAAACCCTGAACATCCGCGTGCTAGCAAGCCTACGCTCCCAAACTTCCCACCCTACCCTCAACCTCCTAAATCTTGAACCTCCTGAACCCAATGCCCTCAACCCTAAACCCTAGACCCTAAACCCTAACCCAAAACCCTAACCCTACACCCTAAACCCGAAATCCTAAACCCTAAAAGTCCTTCAGCACCTCGCCCTTCGGGGGCGGCTTCTTCAGCGGCGCCTCTGGTCAGAACTTCGGGGATCTTAGGAGTTAAGGAACTTGGGCGGAGGAGTTGAGGGTTGAGGATTCAGGGTCTAGGGTTTAGGGTTAGAGTTTAGAGTTTAGGGTCTAGGTTCTAGGGCTTAGGGTTTAGAGTTTAGGACACGAGGATTTAGGCCTTAGGAGTTGCGAATCCCCAAACTGATTCGCCTAAGGACGCCCCGCTGAACCCAAACGGCTAGCCTTTGAATTATGGTAGGATTAAATATACCCAACAGGTTAAAGGTTGCCTGCTCAGCTACTATGGTTCTGCCCTAAAATGGGTTTAGAGTTTAGGGAACCCTCCACGGAAGCACCAAGAAGCCCACAAACGTCTCAGGCAGCGCCTCGCGAACCACGGGCGCCTGGGCGGCGCCCCCGGCAGGGGCGACCACCACCTCTGTCTTCATGGAATAGTCCTGCGGGTTAGGGGTTTAGGGATGAGTTTCGGGGCTGCGGTGAACCCTAAAGCCTAAACCCTAAACCCAACCCTAAACCTTAAACCCTAAACCCCAAACCCTAAACCCACCACTGGAACCCTGAAACCCTCAAACCCCCTAAGCCCCAAATCCCGAAACACCCCACAAGCCTCGCAGCCCTGGCAGCGCGGCGGCATTTACCCAACCGTAAGCCTGAAATTGCTTAAGCTCCAAAGCGCGAACCATCCCAAACCCCAAACCTAAACCCTACACCCTAAAACCCTAAACTACTAAGTCCCAAGCCCTAAACCCTAAAATCCCAAGTTCCTAAATCCCATGAACCCTAAAACCCCAAACTACTAAACCTCCAAAGAACTCCTAAACCCTAAATTAGCAAGCCCCAAACCCTAAACCCTAAGCCCCAAACCCTAAACCCTAAACCCCTAAACCCTAAACCCTAAACCCTAAACTACTAAACCTCCAAATCAAAAACGCCTGGCGAATCTCCAGCGCCACCCGCCGGATCTCGCCACCGGGGAGGGCGGCTTCCTCCCAAGCCGGTGTTTGGGGCCTAGGGTTTAGGGTTTAGGGCAGTTTAGGGCTGAGGGTGAGGGTTTGAGGGTTTAGGGTTTAGGGTTTAGGGATTAGGGTTTAGCGTTTAGGGTTCAGGGCTGAGGGTTGAAGGTTGAGGGTCGAACTCGCAAACGCTCAAACGGTCAAACACACGAGCCGGCGTTAGAGTAACCATCTCGCAAGCTTTTCGTCAAACTTTCAAACTCTCGAACTCTCGCACGCTTCGAACTCGACACCTTCCAAGTCCCGATCTTTCAAACTTCAATCTCTCGATGCTTGCAAGCCAACAAAGGCCAACCCCCTCCCTAAACCCTAGACCCTAAACACCTTGCAAACCCCAAAACCTTGTCACCCTCAGTCTCTAGAACCTCAAGCCCTCCACCTTTTCGACCTCCTAAACCCCTAAGCCCCCCCCTCAACCACCCCTAACCAACCTAAACACTTTACTCCCCCCTAAAACCCCCTTAAACCCTCCCCCCCCCCCCCCCCCCAAGGCTCCTCCAAAACCTCCAGAGCCGGTGGAATGCCAAGACCACGGTTCCTTAGGGTTTAGGGTTTAGGGTTTAGGGTTTGGGGTTTGGGGTTTGGGGTTTGGGGTTTGGGGTTTGGGGTTTGGGGTTTGGGGTTTGGGGTTTGGGGTTTGGGGTTTGGGGTTTGGGGTTTAGGGTTTAGGGTTTAGGGTTGGGTTTAGGGTTTCGGGTATTCTGTTTAAGGGGTTTGGGGTTGTGGGGGTTTGGGCGGCTTGAGAGGCTGAGTCGCTTTGGGGTTTTTTCTTCTTCTTTGTTAGGGTTAGGGTTTAGGGTTTAGGTTTAGGGTTTAGGGTTTAGGGTTTAGGGTTTAGGGTTTAGGGTTCAGGGTTCAGGGTAGGGTTTAGGGTTTAGGGTTTAGGGTTTAGGGTTTAGGGTTAGGGTTTAGGGTTTAGGGTTTAGGGTTTAGGTTTAGGGTTTTGGTTTTTTTTTTTTTTTTTGGGGGGGGGGGGGACTGGGGATGCCGGATTTGAGGCTGCAGGGCTTCGCTAAACTAGACCAAAAGGCCTCTTGCTCATATGGGGGTCGGAATAATTGCTAATACCAGCCCCTTATGGTCCATTTGTAAAGATACTAAAACAGCAACCAAAACCTGTTCTAATTACTAAGGCCCCTATATTCTAGCGCCTCGAGCGCCCAAGGTTTAAAGGCCCTAAGATTTTCTCAAGGCGCCAAGGACGATCCCTGACCACACCTACGAGAAGAGGGAAGACCAAACCCGCAAGGTACCTCAGGGTATGAAGTTGCGCCACAACAGCGGCGGAATAGGATGATGCATTCTTCGGAAGGAAATACCATTCTACGTGTTTATAAAACTGGCAGGAGTCTTCTTTGCCGGCGAGGGTTCAGTTGCAACTCCTTTCCAAGAAAGCCTAGGACACCCACATACCCTTCTGGATAGGACCACGCCCAAAACCCGATCTTCCAGGGTAGTGCTTCAAAACTAAAGATCCCTCAAAACCTGAAAGCTCCCACAAGAAAAGACTATGCGATGGTGGAGGCACTGGCACAAGCCTGAAGAAAAAAAAACAACAAAACACGATAACACAACGCAGGCCACGGGGCACGCCGCAGAATGCCAGTTCCCAGGTTCCCACCAACCTCTGCTTTAGAAATCGTTAGGTTTAGGGTTTGGGGTTGGGGTTTAGGGGTTTAGGGGTTCAGAAGTGTAGGGGGTGTAGGGATTCAGAGGTTGTAGGGGTTTAGGGTTTAGGGCTTAGGGGTTAAGGATGTAGAAGGGTGACTTCTGAATGGCGTCCTGATGCTGCGGCTTCTGGAGGTTGGGGGGGCGGCCCCTCAGGCCCCACATGAAAAGGCCTCAAAATTCCCGAACTAAAAGAGAAGCTGCTGACCCAGCACACTCTGCCAAAATCTCCAGACCGCGTCTTCTGCTTTGTTGCGGAAAAAGGTTTAGGGTTGAGGATTTAGGATTTTTGGGATTTTGGGATTTAAGGTTTAGGGTTTAGGGTTTAGGGTTTAGGGTTTAGGGTTTAGGGTTTAGGGTTTAGGGTTTAGGGTTTAGGGTTTAGAGAGCCCTCCAAACCCTAACCCTGAACCTTCAAAAAGAACAAAAGGCTCAAGGCCTGAGCCCCAGACCCCAAAAACACAAACCCTGCAACTTGGGATGTTTCCCCTGAGACTAACAGTCCTTACAAGGGATAAAAATAGGGGGGGGGGGGGACTGTAATCCTTATAAAGGACTGTTAGCATA